ACCGGGGTTTTAGCTCAGGCCAGTATGACCTATTTTGTGGAGCGTCAACCCCAGGGTCTGGCACGTTCTGGCATAGGCACGAGCAGCCTCCCGGACGGGCCAGCACTATATAAGGCTGACCCACCCTGTAGGCTGCAGGCAGTTCCTGGGCACTTCACGTGCAGAGGGCAGGAGGTAGTCTTCAGGACTCAGCAGCGGCACTCTGGAGTAGTATTGGTAGCAGTAGTCTTCAGCGCTGGGTGCTAGTAGAGAGAGAGAGAGATGGTTGGCGGAGGCCAGGGAGACTCACCTGCGGCGCCATAGCTCCAGCTTTGTCTTCGATGTACCTGCAGCCAGGCGCCACCTTTACAGGTTAGTATCGGGGAGAGAGAGAGAGAGAGAGAGAGAGAGAGAGAGAGAGGGAGATTGAGTTCTCCTTCTTCCTCCTCGAAGTCCACCATCTCTTCCTCACCCTCTCGCCCCTGACTTCTCAGTATCTACCGGCTACGAGAGAGAGAGAGAGAGAGAGAGAGAGAGAGAGAGAGAGAGAGAGAGAGAGAGAGGGATGGGCGACATTGGGGTTCAGACTCAGCATCGGGATTCAGACCTTTGGCGAGGGATTATTTGGGACTGTATCGAAGACTTGGTGTTGACGACATTTCCATCTTCCCCCTCCCCTTTGTCTAATCCCCCTCTTCTTCGTCTGTGCATGATCGGGGACTGACGCATTCTTCCCGTGTGAGCGTCAGCCCCCTTCACACCATGGAATGATGATGATGCATGTTTGGTCTGCATGGTAGCTTGATTGATCGGATCATTGGTATTTAAGCCTTCCGTTGTGCTATCTTGTATCTGGCGAGAAAGGTCGGTTCTTGGTCTGGTCTGTACCGTTAGGGTATGCAACATGACATCACAATAGGTCCACCATAGCTATGGCTTCCTCCCTTCTTCCACCTCTCACATGCCTAGGCTACGGCGGACTACTGAGGGCTGTGCTCTTATGTGCAAAGGACAACGCAAAGCAGTTATGTCGCTGCACTCCTGTCCAAAGGACAAACCAAAGCAGCTATGCCGCTGCTGACTAAGCCGCCATGCCTGACTCTGCCTCGAGCTTCCTTGGTGCGGCACTACCCCAACTGGGGCCTTCCAGATGCAGCGCCCAACAAGGTGATGAAGATGGTGTCCACCATAGCCAGGTAGGTACCTCACCACTCTCCTCCTTGGCCCCCTTCTTCCTCCTCCTCAGGCTGGGCTGCTCGCCATAGCCAGGCTGAGCGCCCAGCTGCTCGTCACCTCCAGGCAGCGCTTCCCAAGTCCAGCACTTGGCTCCAGCAGCATGTCGCCAATCCTTGCATATGGCAAATGAGGAGGAGCTACTTTTGCTCCTCCGGAAGATATAGCGGCCTACTGGCCTCTTGGGCGGTGACTTCCTAGGCCAACGGCCTCCCAGCAACCGGTACCTCCTCCCTTTTGGAGGGAAACATCATTGCAGGCTCTGCTATCGTCTGGACAGGCCCTAGCCTCGGGCTATTTGGACTGGTACCGGCCTACCTCTAACCTACCGCTACTGGGCCTCTAAAAAATGCCAACTTTTGTCTTCTTCTGCTCGGCCTCCAGTACCCGACACTTCTACCACTACGTGAGTGGTACCGGCCTACCTGCTACTTGAGTGTTTTTCCCACTGCTCTTAAGTGTCGCGGGCCTACCCCCGCTACTTAAGTGTTTTCACCGCTGCAACCCTCAAAGTCACGGCCACAGGTAAGTACCAGCCCTGCAGGGCCTTTCAACCAACAAGTACCCTTGCGGGTCACACACATACTCAGCCGACAAGCACAGACAGGCACGCAAACCAGCAGGCACGCACACACACACAGACTTGGAAACCACAGCAGAATGTGGGAATCTCAGCAAGGCATTCATTCCAGCGGCAAATCCCAGAAATCAGCAGTGTTCTCAGTCTGTGTTTTGGCGGGTCATTACATATATACAACTGATTCTATCAATGTGATGACATTGCCCAGGATGAACCTTCCTGGTATAAATCCTGTCCAATGGAGATGGAAGCATCCTGCCGTGATTTGCCAAGTCTGTTGTCCAGTGCCTTCACTCCGATCTTGTGTGTTAAACCACCAGTACCTCGCCCTGCTATAGACTCCGACCCTCTAAAGACCGGTAGCTCGAGCTTTCTCGAGCCTCTGACGTGCTGAGAGTACGTCAAAAAAAAGAAAAGAGAGAGAAAAAGCCACACACACACACACACACACATACACACACACACACACACACACACACACACACACACACACACACACACAGAGGGCGAGACTCCGGGCGATCTGTGCGGTGCCCTGCGGCGAACTCGCCGTCTCTCTCTCTCTCTCTC